CCAAACCTCGGCCGAGATGTGACTTTATCTCGGGTGAATATGGACGTGGAGCTCTTGCCTCCCCAGACAGATGAGTTCCTGCTAAACTAAGGATGTCTTTTGGATAGCAGCACACTTGGGAAAAGGGGTCAGACTCTTGAGGAATTAGCCCTCTGCACACGTTTGGCGAAGTGCACGGCAGACTCCTAGCGGAGGGACCGTGGGTCCCAGGAGAGAATTTCTCTTGCTGGATGTGAGCAGAAGGCTGAAGGTTTGCAGAGACAGGGTGCAAAGCCTCATGTCCTACCCTTCCCAGCCTCCCCCAGGAGCGAGGCCAGGGAGGGCTTTCCAGCTTTCTCAAGGGATGCTCTGCTCAGAGAGCCAGGGGAGGCACGACCTGTCTGTCCGGGGCTTGCACAGTCCCTGATGCGTCTGCCTGTGTTCTTTCAGCTCTCCAGTTGCTGCAGGAAGACCAGCATGCCAGCGTGCAGCAGGCAGCAGCTCAGGTCCTCAGAGACAACTGGCCAGAGCTGAGCCACGTTCAGACCACCTAGGAGGTCGTCAGAGGGCAGGAACGGGAAGGCCGGACAGGCAAGGAAAGGGCAGCCCGTCCAGAGAGTTGGAGGTGTTACCACGGAGCCAGCACAATCAGCTGACCAAAATAAAGCATTGCTTGCTGAGCAGAAGGGCCTGCTGTGCTTCCTGGCCGAGGCAGGGCTGTTGTGGTGCGTGCGGACCTGCTGTTCTTGCCGTGTGTTTGAGCTGTGTCTGTATGGGGCAAGGGAAGCGGAGAGGGCTGTGACTCTGAACTCGACCTGGAAGGCCACGAGGTGGGAAAGTGATTCCAGAGCATATTTGTCTGTGGGAGGGCTGTTTCCTGGCAAGATGGGAGCTGCTAAGAGGGAAAAGAAATGGAAGTGAGAAAGAAAGGCCAAGTGATTCTATTTCACTTGGTTCCACGAATGCCAACAGCTGGCCAGTGCTCCATTGTACTTCCTAGCCTGCTCACGTAGACACAAGCCAATAAGTGCTGGACCCCTTGACCTGACAGATACAGCAGTCGGGGGTGCTGTGTTCAGCAAGAGGACTGCAGAGGCCGTGTTGGGAAGAGAAGGGTCTGCTGCTGACTTGCCTGGGTGTGCCAGGGAGCACTGTGCTGACTGCATCCCGCCAGACAAGAGTGGCAGAGATGGGAGGGACAAATAGCAGCCAAGAGCTGCGGTTAGATAGGAAAACAGGAGGAAAGATGTGGAGCTCCTTGTAGCCAGAGGGTGAGCTGGGGCAAGTAGGGGACAGCTGAAAAAAAGTGTTACAAATGGAGAGCGATGGCAAGCCGGGTTCCCAAAGAACCGACTTCTACACACAGTGCTACTGAGTATCGCTGCTCACTTCTAGATGCTCACTGCATCCATCTGCCCTGCAACCCCTTGTGCCGTTGACGACGTTCTCCTGTAAAGACATTGGTTTTCTCAGCAATGCCACAGCGGTTAGACATGCTACAGCTAAATGCAAAAGGCCACAGACCTTCCAAAAATGACTGCAGCAAGTCATACGGGCCACTGCATAACGGAGCTCAGTGAGGTCATTCTTCTCCCCTCTTCCCCGTGCAGCAGTTTACACTGAAGAGCACTGTCACCTTGCACAAATGTTAATTGAAGATGAAAGTGTCTAAAAGATCAAAAGAGCCCACGCCTGACCTTCAGTCCCCAGGAGCCTGTCTAAGTAGCTAACTGGACTGTACTAACTGCAGCTAAGTACTAACACAGTAGCTGGTTGCACGATGCAAGCACGCTCATTTAGGAACATTCTCTTCCCATTCCCATGGCCATAAATCAGGAGTGGATTTCCTGTAGGGCAGCAAAACGGTTAAGCTCACTTGGTGAGAATCTCACAAGTGCTTTAGTAGAGTGGAAATTGAGTGCTGCTGCTCACAAGACCAAAGCTCCGCTGATGTCATTCAAGCCCTGATGATTTTCCCCAACAGGAAATTTGGCCCCTGCTTTGTTGCAGCTCATGAAAACAGAGTCTTTTGTTCCGGGCCAAGAGCATGCAAAGAGAGCTAGCAGAGGACTTTGGCACCAGTGACCGCCACGGGGGTTAGTCTGAGGGTCTGAAGGGGGTTAGTCTGTCCCAGGTTCTCAGCATTTTGCCTTTGTCCTTGCTGAGTTTCATGAGGTTCTCCTGGGCCCTCCCTCCAGTCTGTTTGGGTCCCTCCAACAGACAGCCCTGCCTTCACGAGGATCAGCTGGTCCTTTCAATGCAGGGTCACCTGCTGACTTCAGGAGAGTGACCTCCTCACCCCCTCCAGGTCATTGGTAAAGATGTTAAACAGGACAGGACCCAGGATAGACCCTCTGTGATGATGCACTTGTCCCTGCCCTCCGGGAAGAGCATGACCCAGTAACCACTACCTCTGAGCCCAACCAGCCAACCATTTTGTTATCCGTCTTGTTGTTCCCCCATCCAAAGTGTAACACTGGACACAACTTGGACACCAGAACACTGCGCGGTAAAGTGATGACAGACTTGCTAGAGCTGAGGTAAATGACATCCGCTGCCCTCGCTCACCCGCAAATCCAGTCTTTTTATCCCAGAAGGCAATCAGGTTGGTCAGGTGTGAGTTCCCAGGGTCATCCCAGGGCTGACCCTTCCCAGTCACCGTCTTCTCCTTTGTTTGCCTGGACGTGCCTTCCAAGAGGACATGCTCCAAGAGGACTTTCTGCAGGAATTTCCCAGGGCTTGAAATGAAGCTGACTGGCCAGCTGTTCCCTGAATCAGCCATTTGGCCCTTTTTGGAAGACAGATGCGATATTTGGGGCTCCCCAGTTATTCGGAAACTCCTCAGATCTCTGCAACCATCCAAAGACGACCAAGGTCTCGCTATGACGTCCGGCAGTTCTCTCAGCCCCCTTAGGCGCAGCCCCTCAGGTCACATGGCCTTGAATGGCTCCAGTTCTTCCAAGGAACCCTTGGCTTAACTCTCAGCCACTGCTGGTCGTTCCCTTCCTTCTTCAACCTTGCTGCTAAGCACAGAGACCTCAAAGACCTTGTTCCTCTCACTGAGCCTCTCAGCCTTCTCTGGGCTGGCTATCACTAAATCTCCCGCCCAGCTCCACATGGTCCCACATTCCTTTTTGCTACTAATGCAGTGGTAGGAGCTCTTCTTGTTGAAGACGATAAATCATGAGAGTCTAGTATGTTGGGGCGGGGTTTTTTCCAAAGCCGTTCTTCAAGCTAACAGACAGACTCACGGATGTGCACAGCTTATACATCGCCAACAGCTGCCAATAACTCTTTATGTCCAGAAGAGGTCCGCTAGCTTTCCTGGGAAAATGCTCTTAAAGACATTCTCCACACCACCACCACTGAGGCCAGGCCCCTGCCGTAGCTGGGGAACTGAGGCTTCTTCTAACCCTGACGGATGTGGCGTTTTCTGCATGCTCCTCTTGTCGACAGTAAAATCCAAAAGTGATTTGTCTTCTATGAACTGGTCCAGAAACTGCAGGAGAACTGCTTCTTGAGGCTGGAAGATGCTAAGGCTACAGCTATATTAGCAAACTACGCATGCATGGAAACACTGCCTGCCTCTGAGGCTACCTGGCATGCAATAACCCAGGCCCAGAGCATCAACGCTCTCCCAAGCTCCACACCGAGGAGGCTGCATCCACACTGCCTGTTGCGCACGGTGCCAGGCCCGTGTTACCTCCTGAGCCGTGCCGGGGCAGGGCTTGGCAGAGCGCCAGCTGGCTCGGGTCGAGAAACAAGCAGGGGACCGTGCCGGCACCGTAGCTGTGCAGATGATGCCCTTCCGCTGCCCAGAGCTAGGTGGTCTTTTACCAGCCGACTACCTGAAGATAACCTGCGACATCTTGTCTCCAGTGCCTGGCCAGAACCCTCACAGAATAGCCAGGTTCTCTGCCCATCACAGAGCTTTTGATACCACAGCATCTGCCTGAGGTGGAAGTTCAAGTAAGCCCTTTTTTTGCATTAAGGGCACCCACGTGTTTCCGCACTGCTCGGTCATTGGCTGGTGGCTGTTTTGCGACACCATCATACCCCACATGTTTTCAGGCAGCCCTCTGAGTGCTTGGCAGCACCGGCCACCCCTTCCTGTCTACCCCATCAGGACAGCAGAGCAGGAAGTCCTCTCCCACAAAAAATACAGGTGCCACCATTCCGCAGAACATCCTTACCCAGAAACCTGTCGGTACAGGAAGCTCCTGCCAACTACAGGCACAAAGGCCCCCATTTTTGGCAGCGTCTTACCCTACCTGTTTTCACACTGCGCTGGGATTGGCTGGTTGCCTTTTTTGGAAATCAGTATACCGCTGGGGTCTCAGGGCCCTCTCTGATTGGCTGCCCACTTCCTTTGGACCAGGAATTGCCCAGATATAAAAACATGTGCATTTAGATACAATATAGACTTATACAGAAACATATATATATATGAAGGAGTGCACAAATATGCGTAAATATATGCTTTAGTTATACTGACAAGATCTATATTTCTATATGTGCACATCTAAAGCATATATATACACACCCCCACATTTATAAAGCTGTAGAAATTAAATGTAAAAATCCATCAAAGCATAGGTATAAAAAGGACAAAACTTCCTGTAAGAAGAGCTAATGGAAAGAATAATTCAAGTGTAGATGTGAATAGAAAGGAATTAAACCACAGTAACGGGCAGGTTCAGAGCTCGCCGCTTTACACGGCTGCACCACAACCTCCAAAGCCTCTCCTGTCTCTCACAAAGAGGCACTTGCTACACTTTCCTTTCACAGAATCACAGAATCACAGAATCGTTTAGGTTGGAAGGGACCTCTGGAGATCATCTAGTCCAACCTCCCTGCTCAAGCAGGGACCTCTAGAGCATATTGCCCAGGATCACATCCAGACGGGTTTTGAATATCTCCAGGGAAGGAGACTCCACTACCTCTCTGGGCAACCTGTTCCAACGCTCTGTCACCCTCACAGTGAAGGGTGTCACTTTCCACTCTCATCTGAACTCTCTCCTTCAGGACAAAGACCACCTAGGTTTAGGACACGTTTGGCAAGCTAATAGGTTGGAGGGCTCCAGTTTTCTTTCCGGTTCTGTTCCAGTTGGACAAAGAGCGCGGATGGGGTGGCTGAGACAGAGAGAATGACCGACCCAAGCACACACAGGGGCAACGTGACCGGCAGATGTTTCTGAGGAGATCAGGGCAGAAAACAAAGGCAGACAAGAGCCAACGAGCCACTGGAGACCACTCTGACTCGGGCTGCTGGGAAACGCTGACTGAACAGAAAAGGAGGCGTGAAGAGCCCTTCGGACAAAGTCAACAGTCCTGACCATTCCAGCAGTGAGACCCAAAGACGAGTGACTGGGAGACATGTCTTGTTATAACTCTTGTTTATAACGGGGCTTTCTGGGAACGAACGTAGCCCCCTGGTGGCTGTTCCCATATACGGTGCTCTCCACCACAGGGAGTGACTGCATGAGACACACGCCCTCAGCGGTCAGGAGACCTTTGTGAGGTATGCGCAGGACCCCTGGGTGTCACAGTAGCC